GTTCTGTTGATACATTAACAAACCCATGTGTGTAATGTTATTAGCATTTTAGTAGAAGTAGTTTCAGCAAATTAACCCCAAGTAGCTTGTTCTTTATCTAACATAGAATGTTGAATATTGTGGTATATATATATATATATATATATGTCAAGTTTTTTTTTTGTGTTTGGTTTGGATAATTCTTTAATTGGAGTGAATTGTGATATGAATGATGTAGGGTATTGGTTTACTCTGTTACTTCTAATGACCACTAGAGGAAGATGCTTGGGTATCTTATATCAATGGGCATAAAAAATCTGGTAGATCATTTAAAATTCAGATATAGGCTTATGTGGGACAAAAGAATATATACATAAAAAAAAAAACTGTAGCTTTCTATAATTTTCTAACCATTAAAAATTCTTATGTAAATTTATGTGAGGCATTGTAAAGAAAATATCCGATCGGATTTTTGGGCATAGTTACTTGCTTGAGAAGCTGAAGAATGCAGTGAGCAACACATTACTAATTACTGACCCATGAAAAGATTATGTTGATTTGCTTAGATATTTTAGATCATGTTACGTCGTATATAATCAGTAAAAAGAGAAACAGTCAGTAACCAGGGAAGTTTTTATTTTCACAATGTTTTGCAAGAGGTGAACTGAAGAGTAGTCTTAACGGTTAGTTTTACCAAGACTACCCGTGTTCGATATGGTGAAAAAAAAAGTCAAGAAGATAAAAACTTCACTGGTTACTGGCTGTTTCTCTTTTCACTAAATATGTTAAAATTATGACACCCTAATTTTATGAAAGCTCTGTGATCATTTTGATGAACGAGAAAAGTGAAAACACACAAAGGTAGAAATTGTTAGGCTTGTAAGACTAACTTCTTTTGATTAGAAACTGAATTAAGATGAGATACACTTGCCCAGTTTGTTTTTAAACCTGCATTGTATTAAGTGCTCTTTAAAAACATGCAAGGTTTAATCAGGAATGTATATCATTAAATGTTAATGTGTTTAAGTTTTGTAGAAGCTACATGTAGTTATGTACTGGGACAAGGAAGATAATTTTTATAGCTTACCCGTACTTTAACTTGTGGAATAAACCTTTAGTAAAGTGTTGTAGAAAACCATTGTAGATCAGTAGCTATTGAACATGTATCATATTGTTAATCCTGTAATTGGTGGAAGTAGATGTAGTACTGATTTTTAAATTTCAAACATTAGCAAACTAGTATTATAAGCATGATTTAGAAATATTATGCTATATTGAAGTTCATAATAGAGCATTGTGATTGGTCTGTTTCAGAGGTACACACTGTATTGATGAGGTAAACTGTTTTGTATTGACAAGAAGTGTGTAAACAATTGATTTAAGTATTTCTGTGAACATGTAGCAGAACTTGTATTTTTTATGATATATTATTGTTTATTTTAGCCTTTTTTTGTATAATTTACATTTTGATTTGTGTAATCACATCTTATGTTTAGAGTTTAGACAAAACTGAAAGCTTTCCAGTCTTGTATATCACATCTCAGCAAGTACAGAAAATAGTTATGCTTTAATCTAATCTTGCCAGTAGACTTGCATTGACTCTTTCCTTATTGGTGCTTGACTTTGCATGTTTTATTTACAAGTAGCAGATAAAGGCCTTTATATGCCCCACCGTTAACAAGTTAGTTGATGACTGAAACATCTACTTTTACAGTTCCTTGTTTAGAAGGAACTGTAAAAGTAGATGTTTCAGTCATGAACTAACACTTTCATTAATGGTTGGGTGTAATGTATTTAGAAGGAACTGTAAAAGTAGATGTTTCAGTCATGAACTAACACTTTCATTAATGGTTGAGTGTAATGTATTTATCATGACTGAAACATCTACTTTTACAGTTCCTCCTAAATATGTTAACTGAAATAACATTCGCTTAATTATGCACTCACATGTAAATATGAAATTTTCTGCAATATCCACTAATTTTTTCTTAATACCCCCAGAACCCCTTTATGCAAGCATTGCTGGGTTAGAGAATACATCAGTTTTGCCCAAAAAATCTGGAGGAAAGAGTAAACTTTGCCCATTGTGTTTTCGTATGATTTATTACAAAAGTTATGCCCGACACTTGGCTACACACCGAGAAGTTCGAGAATACTTTCAGTGTAATGTCTGTGGAAAGAGCTACAGCCGAAAGGATAACCTTCTTGAACATAAAAGGAAGAAGCACCACTAAATAACTTTAAAATAAGTATTTTGCATTGTAATGCTTTTCTTTTTTCATGCACAGTTTAAAAAAAGTTTGGTGAGTAATTGTATTGTTGTACGATGTTTTCAAATATGTGTAAACTGAAGTAGAAAAGAATTTATAAACCTGAATCATTAGATTACATATTGCTAACAAAAATTGTAACTTTTCTTTGCATTAATTAGACATAAGTTTTTGTTTTTTCAAGTTAAATATTTTGTGTAATGTTGTAGGTTTTGACTTTGTAATTGAGTTGCATATTTGGTCTTTGTCACAGACATGTAACATTTTCTTCAGTATTAGATGACTCGTATATATTTTAAACTTTCCCTAACTTACCACCTCTGTATGGCATCTTTGATGTTGTGCTGTCAATTTTTTATTAGATCTATGAAAATCACTAACTTATCTGTAAGATGAAACTCTAAAATAAATAAAAACCTACAAACAGCAGTTGTATTTAATGTATATATCAATGCTACTACTTAAAATATACAACTAATGTTTCAAGATGGTTTTGGTTTCCATAAAGCCATGAAGTAACTGACAGTAATAATTCAGTGAAGATATGGCATCAGCTTGACCTGTATTGGGTTGAAGACTTATTGCATTTTTCTGTATATACTCTTAAGTTTGACAGATAAGTTAAAAAAAATATCTGCAGAATATGGATTTTAGAAATGTTACGCATGAAATAAATTGAAGACACAGTAAAGGAAAGAAATGCACATACTAGTGAATAAAAAAACAAATTTGTATTCACAGTAAAAACAACAAATTATTTCACCTACTTGCTGGCTGGCCTCCAATTCTGCTGTGGCTTTAATCAGCTGTTGGGATAGATATGAGTCTTATTTCTGTGTCCACACAGGATAAAAATTAGAAAATTTGGGGGGGGGGGTATGTTAAAATTGCAATATGCCAGAATCAAAACTGCATACATCACTAACTATTCCAAATTAAATTTGTACACGTATCTGTGCCACCCTTTGAGATGTACTCGCCTATCCCTAGAGGATTTTAGACACAGGGACAAAGTGAAACAAGTTTATAGCTAGTGCCATTTACAATCTGTACCTGAGTAAAAAGATTAGTATTGTTGGGTGTAAGAGTTGTTAGTTAGTGATTTAATAATTGATGATTTTTTAGTTTTTGTAACAAGAGTTTTAAAGATAATTATTTTAAAGGTGATAGTTATGACAAATTTCGTTACGTTACTCGGCATGACTTGTACATTGTGTGTGTAGTTTAACTGTTGTAATTTGATGTCACGTTACTCGAACGTTCTGTATTTTTCTTGTTGCCTTAAGTGAGTATTGTTACATCATATTGTCTCGTAATTTGTGGAAAGTTCAAGGCCTCGATTGAGCAATGTATATATATAGGCGAGTGCAAGTA